ACTTATAGTTGTGCATGTACATGTAGACTAATCTGGGGACAGAGTTCGCTCGTACCCGCCACCCTGCAAACAGGACGCTGGTCAGGGCTGACGTCATTTGAGCTCTCATTGGATGGATTTGCGTGACCTGTGACGTAGAACGCGTCACACAAACTAGCTTCCGGTGCCCATCATGCGTAGCGCGCGTTAGCTGCATGCGAAGGTCAATCTTTACTTCCTTCACAAGATTCTGTGAAGCTCATCAGCCCTTGCCAGCGCCCTGTTTGCAGGGCGGGGGTACGAGCGAAGGTCACTGTACACTCAGAGTGGTCTCAATTGATGGCAGGAGCACTGGGCCAACTTGTACAAAACATCCGCTCTGTCTTAATAATAAAGTTTGGACGATACATCCTTCATTACAAGAGGCCACCTTATGTGCAAGGTGACTTTAAGTGCTTGATTGGCCGATTGGAATTTGGTGTTTGTAGGCACTGGGCGGTGTCAACGTGTTTCAAATAGCAGTTTCTGCTCCTATCTGTCAATTCTCAGCGTGTTATGTTGAGATCTAAAAATGCCTCACCCTACTGTTGCAGATGCAATTTTTTTGTGTGTAAAACAAAAAGACGCAAAGCCGTAAGTGACAGTCACAGAAGGTGAGATTGGATGCAAAAACTAAAGAACTAAATTTTGAGCCCTCTCGTGTGCACCTTAAAATTCTTTGAATGTAATTAGAATGCATGTGCACGTACAGTGCAAAAAGTTTACTGAACACAAATGTCTAACTGTAATTTCACCTATTGTGGTCTGATGGCTGCTTCTAAGTTATAGTACTGTCGTCGGAAAACCTTACAAGGTGATGGATATTTAACTGTTTTTAGTTTGGCCTGACGGTATTCAGTATCCTCCCTGCTTCCTTTCTGGAACCATTTACCATCCAAATTTTCCTCCTCCTTTCAACCATTTTTAAGAGTCCCTGCAATTGTGAAGCACGGACCATAATGTCATTGCCTTCTCACTCAATTTTGCAAGGCGATTCCACCACATGGTTCTTGCTGCAAACCAAAGCAAACCGAACTCAAGCAATTGACTTTGTGATGCTTTAGGAGTACTGTGCTGTTTTATCATTCCCACCAGAACAAAATTCATATATGTTGTACAGGTATTTTCCCTCTGGGCAAAACTTCATGGAGTTGCTTGTGTATACTTACAGAATGAAAATGTTGCAAAGAAAATCTTGAGGTTCATGTACGTGAACATTGTATGTGCTAAGCGGCAATCGACTGAGATCCAGCCCAACAAAGCAATTTTTTTCTGTACATCGCTTGGCATTAAGTCTTGTTTGCTAAGCATATTTTATGTTTTTACTAGCACAAGCAGTTCCATGAAACGAGTCCAAGGTAAGCATTGTTAATAATCAGGCAGAAGAGAATAGTTGCCACGTTCTTTCAGTTACCATTTAAGAACAACGTGCTAAACAAGGTGTGACAAATAAAAGTCTTTCTTGAAATTGTGACCAAGCTGTATTTTTAAAATGACATTTTTAACAATGTGTTTGCTAGTTTCAAGGGTACGTGTAATTTGTTTAGTCATATGCAAGTAGACGTAACATGGTTGTTACTGTTAGGTGGATGTTAAAGCTACATGTATAGTCCATCATTTGCAGCCATCCGAACAAGTAACTGGCGTATTATTGTTGAAAAACATACTTGGTTGAAAGATAGTAAGTGGACTAAACTCTCTGTGAAATTAATCTTTCTGGCAAGACCGTAATCAACGAAAGAAGGCCTTTCCAACGGTGCGTCTTAAGACGCACTGTAGGAAAATTTAAATTAGTAGTTCGTTTTGTTATTCGGCGCAGCTCGCGCAAGCATTGGCACGACGCACAGGCGCGCGCGGTTGCTATAATTCGTCGGATCAGTGCGCGACATCGCGTATAGCTGCAATTCAAAATTCAAAACATGATTCAGCAACTTTTGATTTGAAATTGAGATCCTAGAATGCTGTTTTTGCTCGGAATTTACAGCTGAAGCTGAGCTGAAACTTCATGAGGTTAGTTGTTCAGTATCCTTCATTAGATTTTGAACACTTTTGTTGCTTCAAACGAACAAAATGCACAAAATACAAATGATGGACTATAACTTTAACTGATTGTTATTGATCTATGTAGGGGTCGAGGGAATTACATGAAACTGCCCTGTGTGATGTTGTACTACGTTTCCATGTTTTAATCCATTTCATCCGTATTCTGTTTTTTTTTCTGGGGTAAATAAGAATGCTTTATATGATTTTGTTTTTTTTCCCTCGCCTTAAATAAACATATTCTTTTATTTGAACGTAATCCTAAATTCAGTAATGGGTCTTCTTTTTTTTTAACAAGGGAAGTAATCCTCGGATCTTTTATTTTCTGATTTGGTTTACCTCGATTTCATTATTTTAAGACTATAAATTGTATGCAATGTACCGGTACGCAACTTCAGAGATTAAACCAACGCTAATTGTTTTTGTTTGTTTTTTTAAGTAGGAACATTTGCTGCAATGTTTTTAATTAAAATATAGAGCATCATATAATATATTTGTGAATTAATGTGTTAATTCTTCAGTAAAATTTTTGAAATATTTCTTGGACAATTGCCATTGTAAAATGTCAGTCAAAAAAATGAATGAAAATTGAAATAAACTGAGGCTTCATTTGATTGATTTCATGTCACCGAGTTTAGGCAATGCAATTTGTGAATAGATAATTGTAATGTTCGAAAATACAAATAAAAATACCAGCTACATGTCATACAGAAGGAAAAAACGGAGTCATATATTAAAAATAGCAACACCAACTACATTTTGTACACGTTTTTAATAAAAACAACTACACATTCCAAATAAATACCACCGCGTTCCAAAAAACAACTACATGTACATGTTCCAAAGAACACAATTAAAGAAACGAAAAAAGGTGTACATGTTGTTTTAAAACAAATCTGTTATTAGAGGCAGTGTTCTGACACGGCATAGTGTCTCCAGTATATGTAAATGCGTCTTGAGACACCACTAGAAGCTGTCTCCTCAGTTGGCATCAGTTCTTAAGGCAAATGGAGAAACGCCAAAGTAATTTACAGGGCGAGTCAAAAAAAGCGGAATCTACATTGTAAACCCCAAAAATTATATTTCATATTAAAAAAAATATGTAGCACCAAATATAATAATGACTGGAAAGCCAATTTCATAAGGTACATTTAGATGAAAAAATGACTGAAATTGGTCAGTCCGTTCAAAATTTTTTCACCATTTAAACAGAATGACCCTAAAACCTGTCTCGTCCCCCCCCCAAAAAAAATGCGATTTCAAGAATCGTCGCAATTGTCTTCAAACATCACCAGCGATACAATCTCAGTTCAAACGTTAAAAATATTCAACAGATTCCCTTTGAAGGCCTGTCCTTTAAAAAAAAAGGAGATTTTTATAAATCATATTGTTTGCCTACCCAGGATTGTTAATAAAGATATTATGTACTTCAGTTGGTGACAGTTGTTGAAACAAGTATTCTGTGGCATTTTCTTTGTTGTTCCAAACAGTCAAAACACACAATGAATTTGCTTCTTTCTTTTTTTGGACGAGATAGGTTTTAGGGTCATGGTGTTTAAATGGTGATATTCTTTGAACGGATTGAGCAATTTCAGAAATTGTTTCATTTAAAAGTATCTTATGAAATTGGCTTTCCAGTCATTATTATTTTTGGTGCTACATATCTTTTTAAATATGAAATATATTTTATGGAGCTATATTAAATTACAAGAGCGCTAACTCCTCATTCTTGCGCGCGGAGACGCTTTGAAGCCGCTCTGGGCGCAGACATTTTGAATTTATGTGCGTGTTTGTACAACCTCGTTTCCATGCATGGGCACGAGATCTTGCTGCGCCATGTTGTTTCCCATCATGCCTTGAGACTGACGATGACTAGAGCAGGCTAGTCGAAACGTTGAGACCAAAGACAAGTTCTTTTAGAACTTAAAGCAGGACTGTTCTTATCAGAACAAAAACTACTTAGCGAAAGTTGATAATAAGCAGGACAAGTTCTTTTCAGAACTATATCTTCTAAGCAGTAGTTATTACCACATTGTGTTACCGCAAACCGAAACGATACCGATACTCCACCATGTAAAGCCTCAAATCATATACATAAATCTACAAAAAACATGCTCTTCTAATATACAGCGTCAGCCGATTGCCGTTAGTATTTGATAGCTTAGGGGCCATTCAAAAATTTCATTGTTTTTAAATTTGGGTTTTTTCCCCCAAACCGTTGGGGGGGGGGGGGTCAAGGTAAACAATTGAAAATCCAAAATCACCTTTCATTAAAAAAAGGGGGAAAAACCCAAAAAGCTAGATATTTTGACATGCCTACGCACCAGGCCACCAGCGTTCCTTATGCGCGTTTGTTTTCCAACTTCGTCCCCAATACAGACGGACAGATGATACATACAGACATACAGAATGACATGTAGTACATGTACTGTGTGTACAGTACATGAGTATTTACACGAGGACAAGGGCACAAACAATGCGTCCACGATTGACCGATAGTCCACGATTGAAATTCGTGTACAAAACCAATGAGAGCTGTTGCTAAAAAGTTAGGGGTATAAACAAAGGAATGAGCTAGGGACAAATAGGGGGTCCACGATTGCCGGTGTTTACAAAATGTTGTGCATGCAAGTGCATGCATTATTGATGTACCCTAACGTGGCGCGGCCCTTAACGTGGCGAACTTTGATTTTTCGCATGTAGCGCCTAGCTAGAGCAAACGTTTTAACTGAAATTTCACAGAAAGTGAAATTTCATCAAGTTCTAAACACTCCCGTTCATAAATCACGAGTTTACCTACCTGTTTCAAAATTAGACGAACATTTTATTTCGTCGTGATTTTCCGATTTTATTTCGAAGTGCACAGTAAACCCTTTGAAAATGTCCCCCCAAAAATTGAAAATAATTTTCTGACAAACTTTTAGTTGGGTATGTACAGTAAGTAGAGATAATAATTGTTTATCAGAATTTATCAACTTTACAGAAATTCTTAAATGTTAATTTGGAATTTCCCGTCATTTATTCAAGTGCGCCACGTTTGGGAACACTCAGCCTATTTTTGCCTAATTTCTGGACGCCAAAATTGTTTAACTTCGGACTTTATTCCATGAAACCGAAATCGTTCACAGAGGTTAATAGCAAGCATTAATAAGGTAAAAAGACCATTATTTCACTGAATGAATTTGAAGTTTGTCAACAAAGAAGTTTGGCAACACTGATGTGGAAAGTCGGCGTAAATGTCGAAGTGCGCCACGTTAGAGAACACCACTATACATGTACATGACATTGTATTTGGATTTTTAATACTGCATAACAAATCAGGGTTTTTTAAAATCGAAAATAGGGGTGGGTGGGTGGGTCAAAACAATTTGGAAAAAATTCCAAATTTAAAAACATTGAACATTTTGAATGGCCCCTTTGTTTGCGCCAGCTATATTACTCCGTGACGATGATTGCGTTAGGACTCAAGAGCTTTGCTCTTATAAAAAAAAATGCAGCCAGACAATATTCGTGCGTGTACATGCTATTCGTTAACTATGACACACCATAGTCTCTCCATGAAATGGCCTTCCTCAGGGTTTGGATGAAAGTCAACATATCTCATTGCTTTCTGGTAAAAACTTTTTGGGTGCTTCCAGATATTGTCCCTAGTTCCCGAAAAACAACCCTTCAAACATCTTGGTAAGGAGGGGGGATGTGAGGCGTTAAATAGGGCAGCATACACGTCGCTCAGGGTTGTGTTGGACTTTCGTAGCACCCCTGATTTTATATCCTGCGGCATATTGCCTGTGTAGTGCAGACCGTTCCAATCCTCTGTTGCACCTCTGGCTCTGCAGAATCGTTTTTTTAAGGCGTTAGTGACGAAATCCATGGGCTGTGGAAAGCAAAAGCCTCCATCACTTTGCGGCCCGTGCCCCTGGAGAAATACGGTAATATTCTTGAGGTTGTCATAATTCTCTATGATGTGATGCAGATAGGTATGCGATTCCCGACCCAAGTTGGGCAGTGTCTCCCATTTGCTAACTGCAAAAGGCGGCTGCATGTCTGGTCCTTTGTGGTAAACGTGACTGCGGTTTGCAATCGGCTTCAACCAGTCCAGTTCCTCGTTATAATGCGCAATGACAAACTCGTATTCCAAGGGCTGGTTCAGGAAACGGCCGGTGTTTTTGCGCGAATTCACGAAATTCGGATGTGGATAGGTTTCTTCCGGTATTCCCCTCAGTATTTGGTCCACAATTTCTACGCCTTGCATGAAGGAATGGTCCTGGTTTGCGACCTCATACCGCCAACCACCAAATCGACCACGGGAGTAGATGCTATGCGCCGACAGCCACGGCTGAACAATGTTCAGAATAGATTCTCGTTTCAGGTGAGGGACTGGATAGCCGTGATCTAGACGTCGGTAGTATTTTGAGACTACCATCTCATCAGTGATGAATCCATACGTTATCAACGCTTTCACCGTGGCTGCAACAACGTTCTTCTCTGTCCAGTCTTTCGGATTCGTCGCTTCCTTGGGCTCTGCCGCCTCGCACATAAGTGACCAATAAGCACCTGCCTTGGGCACGTGATCATCCGAATAGTTGGAGAAGACTGTGACACGGTAGAACGGTGAATCGGAGTCGGGGAAATACATCCAGGACTTGTCCGACAGTGTCTTAGGTGGTTGACCCAAAAGCCCGATACCTATGACGTGAGTATGCGAGTATACCAGTCCGGAGACTAGTTCTTTCATTTGACTCAAATAATCATCCTTACAAACCAGCATGTTCACAAATATATCCAAGGGTTCGGTAGATATCAGTTTGTCGTAAGACAGTGCATGTGTCGTATATTCATCTCCTCCTTTCACCAGGAACAATTGCTGCGAATCTAGATCTACTCCTGTCACCCTTGTGCGGAACTGAAACCACTCCTGAGGGAGAAGGTTGGCTACACCTTGCCATATAGCCCCGGTACCATTATATTTGGGGAATCGGAAGAACCGATTTGGTCCCCATCCCGAGTCCTCCACCCTTCTCCCGTTATCATACGCTTGGATCTTTGCTTTCAGCTTGTTGACATCTGGAACGGCAACGCGTTCCCCAACCCATACGGCGTTCATCTGGTTAGTCTCAACGGTCCACACCTTCTTGTTGTACTTACGCATAAATACTTCACACAGACCAATTCCAAAATTGTGCAGTAGCCACTGGTCAAAATTCGCGGGTTTTTCCTTGCTGGGGTTGCTGGTGATCTCCTCGAGGCCCGCAAGGCATTTTTGCTGGTCTACCTTGTCCATCACCTCTATATTGTTTTGCACTGGGTAAGAAATGAATCTCCTTTCACCGTCTGATCCCATCATGAAGGCATATGCGGCCCGGACCCGCTGATTCCATTCAGCTACTGCGCGGTCCAGCGTTTTGTCGAAGTAATCGTAATGAGAGAATACGACATGGCCTCCCATGTCCCAAAGAAAACCCTTCTCGTCTCGTTCTGATGAGGCAAGACCACCTGGTTTGTCTTGTTGCTCTAATATAGTTACCTTGGTGTTTGAGTACTGTTGGCGAAGTTCATGGAGTCGTTGGGCGGCTCCTAGTGCGGTGGGCCCCGAGCCGATGATAACGATATGGAACGCTTTTTCATTGTGACGTTTCGGGGTCTCGATGTTGGAGATCGGGTCTTTGAAGGCGAAAAAAAGAAAAGAAAATGAAAAAAATGTCAGAAAAAAATGTCAGAAATGACTAGGCACTGGAAAATATACTCTAAAGTCACATGACAGCAAAAACAAGCGCAGGGTCACCGAGGAACAACTTGTGGCGAGGAAAGGGTCCACATCAAAAATAAACACGACAAAAATGATTCTTCGTTTCTTGCAAATATCGATACTATCTGGAACGGTGTCTAAGTATACATGTTTAGACGAGAATACACTATACAAAACTACATGTAAATTTTGTAAACTTAGACCCAATATTGCAAAATACCCCAGTAGAGTTTATTTGAATGGTTTGCTCTTTCTTTTATAATGAGTGGAGAATTTTGGCTCTCGTGGGCCTATATGTTCATGCCCCATTCAACCAACGTTCATTACCAGCACGCATGCGCACTTCGTTTTGAAGCAGACGACAGCGTTTTTGTTTACGCTAGCAGACGAATACATCTCGAAAGTAGGTAGAAGGTGAAAATGTATATTTCGGGTCTCTAATAAGCATAATAAAATAAGTAATGACAGTTTCCGATAGGAGGAGAATTACATTTTCGTTATGACTAGCGTTTTGGGCGAAATTAAAATGAAAAAATGACCATAACACGGAGTTTAATGGCTGGATCCGATAACAAAATAAACTGAAATCATCAACGACTTCTACTTAACGAATATCTCAGGCAAAATATACAACAAAAAAACCCAGAAAGGAAGAGTGAAAACAAATAAAGTCATTTTCAATTTTTTTTAATCGAATCCGCCGGAAACATTTTTGCAAATGTATTTCTTCCATCCAATCCACACGGTGTAGCCGTTTCAAATTAAGTATCGATTCTCTATTTTGAGGTAAGACGAGTAATTTATCCACATGCTTAGTTGACGGTGAATTTTTACCCAGTGAGCCACACGACGTTATTTCAACGTTGAATGTTGGATGAAATGACAACAAGACGTCGAAATACAGTAAAACAACGTTATTTGAACGTCACTTTTACGACGTTGTATTTATCCGTTACAGTTTGACGTTGTTTTAACGTCGGATAAGTTGAAATTGCGTCGCCATATTAACAACCTAAATTCAATGTCTATCCGACGTCGGTTTGGTAACGTTTTTCCAACGTACATATTTCGACATTAATCTAACGATGGATAAATATTTAAATTGCTTCGCGATTTTAACAACCTAAATTCACCAACGTCGGTTTGGTAACGTTGTTTTACGTACAGAATTAATCGAAAGTTGAATAAAAGTTGACATTCAGTGCGTCGCGATCAAACATTGCATTGTTCTAAAGCTGCGTAGTCCTCAGGGTCCACGTCAGTCGTGGAATGTTGTATCAATTAACGTATAATTTCACAACTATCAAAGTGCCACATTATGGAAGAGTTGTTTTGAGGAAATAGAAATTGGGATTGTTGTTCACTTGGACATGACAATGATGACATACATGATGGAAGATACTTAAGCCTACCTGGTTACACAGGAAAAAATGTAATTCTATTTCTGTACTGTAGATGTCTAGTTTTCGTGTTATTTTCAGGCAAAAATTGTTCGTCCAAAATGCATGATTGCAGAATTTTTTCTCGAGGTCATGGCCATGTGCAGTCATGCACATTAGACCTATAGGTAAATTATCTTCGATATATCAAAGGAATAGCTAGGCCTATCAAATGAAAAAGAAAGCAGTCCCAGTTTCGATTTCCTCTAAACTTTTCCTCATATATTGCTATTGTAAGAACGACGTGATACGCTAGCTGGGATAAAACTCATGATGACGTCATCGTGACGTCACTTTTCTAGACTTTGGCTATTTAAGTTTCGTTTGGGACATGACTTTGTTTTATGTCAAAAGTGCTGATGTCAGGTGAGATTTGGACTCATATGAAATCTGGTCCCTTTTATGCTGTTATTGGTTGAACCCCCACACTCTCCTAATTATCTTCACTCAGGCGTGCACTGCTCGTAATACTAAAGTCACTTTAAAAAAATTTGTAAAAAGCAAAACGAGATTGTTTTTGACACACGTAAAACCCTTTTTGTTTCCCACCGTAATGTCGTCTGCTGCACTCGCATGTGGTCATGAATCCTAAACATTAGCTTATATAGGCATGCAAATCGAAGCAAGTCACCTGACAAATATTGTTCGGGGACAAAATGTCCCAAATTTTAATCTCAAAAAAATGCTTGAAAAAAACACTCTTCCACTCCATAGAAACAATTAGATTTTTCACATGTTGTTTGTGTATTTATTTGAAGTTGTTTGACGCTTGAATGGTTTCTATTGCAATTTGGTCTTAACTTAAATTGACCGGACTACTACAGACCAGCAGGAATAACACATGCACAAAATCTACGAGATTTGGGATAGAACTAAAAAATATCCAGGGGAAAAAAGAACACAAAAACAAACTAGGCTTTTGAGTCCGCAACTACATGTATGCGGAAAAGCCAATTAATTTGCAAATCAAATCTTAACAAAGAGAGTTCGGCTGAATGCCGAAACAGCTATAAAACTGTGGTAAAGACTTACATTTCGTAGGAGACATGTCTGCTCCATAGCAACAAACGTACACGACAACACTCGCCAGCGTCAACGCCAGGGCTATAGTAATCGATTTCCGAGATTTTGTGGCCATCCTTCCCCTACTTCCCACAACTTATTCCGGAGCAGTGTTCATGCGACAAGAATGAAAGACAGCGCAAGACTCGACTCGATATGTTCGAAAACAGGGAAACAATCCGGGCCAGAAATCCAGTTTTAGCGCGGTCGGATTATGGGGTGTCTTGGAATGTCCCGCTCCTGCCAACAGTAGCACTCGCAGAGACAATGTGTGCAAACACCCCTATCCGCGCATGAATCATTGCGATGCCTTTGTGCTGTGGTATTGCTTTATCGATTTTGTTTCTCCACACAAATTGTGTCGCGGTGTTGTTTTATCCTAGTTTAAATACGCCGTATCGACTGTTTTTTTCTCCACAAACATATTCTTTGAGATTTGGGTACAGGTGGCATCCGATTCGACAACCCATCGTCGATGAGCGAGGCTTTTATGTCAAACTTTACAAGACAATTAAGCGTGCCAACAATAATAATAGGATGCGTTCGATTAGCTTACACGCGTAAATAAAAAATACTACACGAGAGCTTTCGATTAGCCAGCCAGTAATCCTCGTGGGTACCGCGCCACCTCGATGACATTGGGTTTCTTGAGGCTACCCGGGCGTAATGACGTAACCACGATTCAAGTGTGGATAGCAAGATTGAAGATGGCATGAACTTGATTACGAAGTGATCAAGCAAGGGGTGGGGGTGCCGCAGGGGGCACCTTGCCCCCGGGCGTATTTTGTGAAAGATATTTTTTCAGTAACTATTTTCAGAAATGCTTAGAGAGTTCTGACATGAACAAATAGAAAACCTATTGAACTCCAAAACTATAACAATGCGCCGTGAATATCGGCATATATTTTCCAGTAGGTATAATAATGGTCAGTTTTGAAGATTAAGAGCGCCCACATTTGGAATATGGATACCAGCCCCCCTCCCCCTTTTGATTTTACGGAGGCCAAGTGTCCGGAGAGAACATACATTTCGGCGTGGCTGTGCGAGTGCGGTCCCCCGGCCCCCACATCAAAAGCTGGATACGCCACTGAGAACAATGGCGAGATTTATCAAACAAATATATAATTGGATGGACATGTTTTGATAATACAGAGCATATGCTCGGATTTCAGCAATTATTGATCTGGTTACACCGATAAAACTACATGTTCGAGTGAACAGTATGCCAGGTGTGATTACATTTATCATTTAAATCATCATACACAAACAAAACACACTATAGGCCTACTCATTAATTTGGGATTGTGCGAGCTGCAGCAACCGGTACTTTAATTACCATACACTTGTTTCTTCAACTTCTCCAATACACATCATTTTTACTGATAATTTTGCACGATATACATCGAGATATATATCAACATAACAAACTGTAAATTAGACCCATTGCTTTTTGGTGATCGCCAGTTACGAAAAACCACAAACCTTTTTGGAAAAAGTGGAAACGTATGCACTGACCTATGCTGACCACCGCTCTCAGGCTAGCTAAGCAATGATAATGGGAGGTTCTTAAAACAACGTATTTTAAGGTTTACTGTAGCCATTACAATAGCATATAATTAAATAAATTACGTGTGTTGCGTTGCTGCTAGCAGGCGTGAATGACGCGTTTCTCCGCTAGCATCACATACCACTACCTATTCAAAATTCCCGCTCAGACCATCGAACCATACAATCATTAGCATATCAATGATAAATTCGATGTATTCTAATTCGTTCTGGACTCAACCGAATGCATCAAAATTATATTGAGAGTCCTGCCTCAAAACAACCGTTTTCGAGTGTAAACCCCGTGGATGCGCGGGGAAGCTAATCGAACGCGCCGTTATAATACGCAGAATGTACATGTATTACGTAACAGGCACGGGCAGTATAGTGGGCACATAACAACACAATACATTGAAGGTCGTTCGAAGCTCGGAGCCTACCTCAAGTGGTGACTTAGTAGACACCGCAAAAGTCCACACTCATTGAAGGGGTCATAATTTTGAATCTGATAACGTCATTTATATAGACCTTTTTGTTAAGGAATAGGGAATTTTGTTAGCTACATTTCGATATCCCGTTAGCTACCAACGACTGTAAATCATCCAAGATTGACAACGGTTTGTGACAAAAAATGATGCAGTTTGAAAAGTTGATTACGCGAGTACAAATATTAATTGCTAAGCGCAAACACACATGCCCGGAATTGGCCCCTATATCGACCCGGGCATACAAGCAATGTGCGATCGATATTTAGACCGTGGGCCAAACTGGATATCCTTCCATTTTTTTGAAAATCAGACTCAACTCATAGGCCTATGGTTAACTGAAAGTCACATTAAAACTCGTTAGAAAACTAAAAACAATGATTTAAAGGCATTCATGAAGAATTGGCTTAGTTATTAGCCCATAGGAACAAGAAATTTTTGCCGAAAAGATATCTTTCAAATTTCCGAACATGTCTAGGAAAGGGTCAGTCTGGTTCCCGTCCGGTCAACCAGTGTAAAGAAATAGCGGGGCTTAGGAAACACGTTTAATCTAAACTGCGACGTCCATGATGACGGACACGAGAGAGCAAGCCTGCTGGAACTTTTGCCAGGGGGTGCTGGAATTTCTAAAGGACGGACAAAATTAATGCAAACGCGGAGCGCAAAGCCCTTACGGCGTGGCTTAACCCTAAAAGGGCCGGGGGAATCCGCCCCCCCCCCCCTCGACTTTTTCCGCGATAGCCTTTAAAAAATTTTTCGCGACCCGAGCTGTTATGACCTTTTAGCCTCGAGCCTTGCGCATCTTTTGACACCAAAAATATAAAAATCGGACCAGGGGTTGTCGCGCAGCGAAAAATTTTCCGGCGCTACGCGCCGTGAAAACTGAATTTTCCCATATACGTCGTGTACACTGACCACAATTACCATTCGTACATATGAATAATTGATTAGCCATAATTCCAAAACCCTTTGACCTATAGTCATGAAATTTCCTGGGTTTGTTCATGAAGAGTTCTTCTATGCATGTACCGAGTTTCAAAATTTTTCGTCACTCGATGGCCGGGATCTTACGGGGGGCGGACCCCCCCGGCTGAGAGATGGTCAAAATAACCCGGCCCTTTTAGGGTTAAAGGGCCCCTAAAAGGTTTGGAATATGGATGCTCTGTGGTGCAATCTGAGGCGATTCCTGGCCATTTTCATATGACTTTTTAGCAAAAGTTTTTTGAGATTATAAGGACAATTTGTTTCATTTTTTTGTTTAAAATATACTGTTGCTCTTATAACGTTTGTACTGTACTGAAAAGTCGAGAACCCTGTATTTTTTTCTCAATTTTTTTCCATTTAATCCTGGAAAAAGAAAAAAAGAATTGTATCATTATGCATGACATCGCATGTAAATAATATTATTATTGTTGCAAGGCTGCTTTCTACATTTCCTTCGTGTATGCTTTGTTTTATTTTCCGAGCCCTTACGGCGTGGGGTCAGGGGCCCACTTATATTGGGCCCCGGTAAAATTTTGGATTCTGGATGCACTACGTGATGAAATAGGTAGTCGGGCAGCCAGAGGGGTGAGCCATGTTTTGGTGGATATAAAATGTTTTTGTGTATATATATTCTAACCAAGGAGGTCATACTATTAAAGAATTTGCATGATGACATCTTCAGTAAGAGTTGAGCAATTTTTGATATCGATTATTTATTGAGTGATCGGGCACGACTGGATCACTTTTTAGAATTGTTCGAATAAATCTGCTTTGTTTCTATTTTTCTGGACTGTAATTCTCCGCAAGTTTTCTCCTCAATAGTTCAACGTGTAACTTTCAACCAACGTCATCTCTGACCCCAAGTGAAGCATATAACTCTGCCGTCACGATGACGTCATCGGGTATCAAATTACAAGCGATTTTAGTTGAAAAAGTTACCAACTCCTTTCACTTATAACTCTTGAACAAAACAATCAATAATTTTTGTATTTTGTAATCAGATAGATCATTAATAAATTGATTAACTGTTTGGGTGACTGCTCTATGTTCCGACACCCCTATGTTCCGACAACTCAACCCATGTTCCGCCACCCCTATGTTCCGACTACTCAACCTGTGTTCCGACACCCCTATGTTCCGACAATTCAACCTATGTTCCGCCACCCTATGTTCCGACAACTCAACCTATGTTCCACCACCCCTATGTTCCGCCACCCCTATGTTCCGACACCCCTATGTTCCAACTATACTCAACCTGTGTTCCGACACCCCTATTTTCCGACACCCTTATGTTCCGACAACCTGCACATAAGATTGTGGTTAACCATTGGTCAAACAAATTCTTGCGCGAACTTACCCATACTCGACCGAGACCGAATCAGGTTCGCGGGTGTGAATAGTGCGCCCTCTATCGGGACAAAATGCGACATGCATAAAGGTTCGCTCGAACCCCCGGCCCTGCAAACAGGACGCTGGGATACGCAGATGAATTCACGCTCTGATTGGATAGATTTTGCGTGACTTGTGACCTGCAAGCCTCACGGCCACGACTCTGCTCAGTTTTAAACGGCCGTTGAGACTGAGTCATCACTCTTTTATTCCCATTCATAAATGCTTCTTTTTGTTGAAAAGCGTAATAATGTAGGAAAATCTGCAAAACTCATCTGTTTTGTAAATTTTCTATTCTCGTCACTAGCTCAGGCTCCGTTTCGAATTCACGAAGAGTCAAGTTGCATATTATGCGACGCTCAAAATAGGTCCACATGGTCCACCATGAAACAGAAATCACATCCGGTATGGAATGTATGCATTTCTATGAGAAAGTTTTCGGATTGCATTTGCGCGCATTGGCTAAGTGCGGTCTTAAACAACTGCAGCCAGATGTCTTTATACATAGGTCATGATAAATTAACCAGAATGCCACCCCCACTTCCTTCAAAAGATTCTGTGAAGCTCATCTGCGTGTCCCAACACACGCGGGGGGGGGGGGGGGGGGGGGGGGGGTACGAGCGAAGCACAAAGGTTGTACCCTCTGTCGTGAATTACCCTGGTGCGTCTGGCACCAAGACTAGTCACAATGAAGTCGGCGATTCCTTTCAATATGTAAACACCTTTTAATATATAAAATCAAAGATAAATTCCACATATAAAATCAAAAAGTTCTACAATTTGACAAACGATTGAAAAACGCTCTGACGCACAATATGCAACCATGACGTCATACGACCTTGACCTTTCTCACTGGTTTATGATCATTATAACAATCTAATTGAATTACACCCAAGAAGCAACGTGCATTATGGATTTCCAATCTAATTAAAAGGGTCTAATTTTCAGTAATTGGCTAATTTAATTTTGTTAATCTGCAAGATGAGCTTAATGGGATCCTTGAATAATTTGGTGTATTTTTTTAAAGCACATCAAAGCACCATGCCGACCGGACAATGTCTACGGTCCAAACTATTTAATAGACAGCCAAATTAAATTA